GTCTATCAGCGCGCAGCAACCAGGATGGTCAGCGAAGGTTTGAGGAGCGCGCCGCCAGACAGATGCGTGCTGCGCTTGCAAGGACTGCTGCATTGCATCAGCAGACTAAATCTAAAATGCCACCTGGTAAGAAAATACATTTTTGCTCATCAGTTATTTTTAGGGACTTTGCTTGTACTTTTATAACTCCCAAGAGTTATAAATGATGTAACATGACTTATATCCCATAAGCTCACGCTTTGATTCTATAGCGTTAGGTTCTGACCTACAGCCTACAGGATAATAAAACCATTCAGAATCCACAGAACACCATGCTATATTGCTTGAGGTACGATTTAAAACTTGAGTTTTATATTGAGTACTTCATATCTTTTTTTTGTAGGTGGCGTTTATGCGCGACTGGAGGCCGAATGGCGCGAGCGTCACGGGCAGCGCTCGCGCAACGCAGTGTCCGCGCGGCCGCGCATACACCAGCCCGCCAACAAATACAAGTGAAACTAATAAACAATTACATCACATAACAGTATTTTTCTATTCCTGAATGCTATTTATTCTCACATCTTTCTTCATTTTTCTATCACTAAAACCTTAAGGTACTTGACAAACCCACACCCAAAAATAAACAATTTATTTTCAGCAGTTTTCGACCAAACACATTTTAAGATCCACATTATTTAAGAGAGCATAAACTTCAGAAAATGAAACATCTATTATGTCAGCCTAACATAATATTCAACATTAGATCATAATATTATGGCAGCAATGTAGTAAATAAAAGGTCAGCAGTTAGTCACAGATGTTTATTGTGTCTTATATCTAGAATCGCATCCTGTGGGGGTACTGGCTCGAGCGGAGGCCGAACGACGACTTGAGGTAGCCTCGCAGCAACTTCTTGTCGGAGCGCTTGCCTATCGCCTTCACTACAGCCTCGTCGACCGATTTCTGGTCAGTCTTGCGCTGTTCTGATGGAACGTATTTCTGTAAACAAAATGTTTATCGTTAGTTATTCATCTGTAATATCAATACATAGTATAAAACAAAGTCGCTTTCGCTGTATGTCCGTATGTATGCTTAGATCTTTAAAACTACGCAACGGATTTTGATGCGGTTTTTTTTAATAGATAGAGTGATTCTTAAGGAAGGTTTGTATGTATATACATATTGCACCCGTGCGAAGCCGGGGCGGGTCGCTAGTTATGTATAAATAAAACACATCTGTCTAAATTGAACAACAATGTCTTGTGTAGCGAACATTAATTAAGATAAGATGTTTAATCTGAGAACTTATTCTTACTTATATTGGTTATTGGAATAGTAAGCAGAGAACAAGCCAGTCCACATTGACCAAAATTTTAGTCACAAGTCAATTGATTACGAGGTTTAAATCAAAGATGAACGAGTTGAGTAGCACTTTTTTACAAACTTGAGAAATAATTATACAATAGAAGTCTGTGTTACCTCTTTCTTGGAGGCAAAGATGTCCTCTCCTTGCTTGCGCTTCACGCTGCGTTTGACGCTCTTCTTGTTCTTCTTGAAGTACTCGTCGTTCAGGTGTTCAGGGAGCTTGAAGTCTCCGAGGTCCAGCTTGGTGGAGGTGCCGATCACATAGCGCTGAGGAATGCGCCTGAGTGGGCACGAGTTGAACTGAAAAGAGGAGTTAAGAACATTGGTAACTCAGATCTATTGATAGTTAATTCATTTTGAAAAGAGTAACAATGAAGTTTGTGCTCATTCTCTTCAATTCGAAACTAGATTTTGGAACAAGCACATAGTCACTGACCATTCAATTTAATGTTTCAAAAGTACGTAATTAAGAATTAATTGAAAAATATAGGCTTCGACTTTGACATACTTCATTATTTTTGCGTAAAGTTTTGCTTTCTGCTCTTTTTTATGACCTGTAAAGTATATTCAGAAGATTTACAATGAAGTGTTAAATATAAGGATGTAGGTAATCACACTTTAGTTAAATTGTAAACCTTGATGCCAAAATGAAACAAAATGATTTCTGTTTCAAGCTTGGTAGTTTATATGGTCCTTCAATTTCATTTGTACCATGTGCCATATTCTTATATAATATAAGATATAATACTAAACAATTCCAAACTTCCATATTATTCTAAAGACAAACAAATTCTTAAAAGTATGCTTACAGCGAAGGGTCCAGTGACGAGCAACAGACCGCTGGGCAGGATTCCTACAAGCACGACGCGCTTGCCGGCGTGACGGCCGGCGAGCAAGATGCAGACTGTGCCGGGGGTGAGGGTCGGCCTTGTCCTGCGGACGTGCTTGCTGAAGGTCTTGTGGTGGGGACGAGTGCGGATCCTGGAGACAGAAGACAATGCCATTAGTTATTACAACTTTATGCTATACCTATTTTTCTAGCTAAGATATTTTCTATTTAAGAAAGAAAGAGGAAGAAGAAAACGAAGGAATTTATACGTATTTTAAACTGTCAAACACCAAGCGGTCACCGGTGACCGCAACCTATTGTTCTATAATTGTGTCTACAAAACCGGTACTCGAATAGTTAAGGAATTTACTCGGAAAATGCTCAAATATTCTGTCAAATACATTCATTTCAAGATTAAGGTTTGTTTTTTGGCAAGATAAATCATAAGAGTATATAGTCAAAATTTTTTGGTGAATAAAAAACTTAAATAACAACTATTACATAAATAAATGGAAATTTTTTTCACACTAGCTGTTCAAATATATTTGTGTATTTTTAATGTAACATTACTCAATTTTAAGTGGTGCTTAAATATCGTGCCATCTCTCTCATTTTACAAAGAATTTGTGGAGACTGAACTATACTTAAGCGCGACTTAAAATTGAGCAGCGTTTGAGTGTTCCGACAATAGACAACTAAATCTTTTGCTCATGTAAAAAAAAATATTTAATTAGTATGCAATGAAAAACTAGACATTATTAAAAAAGGGTAGGTTAATTAAAAAGGTTTAAACATTATTCTTTGCTCTATTGTAGCTTCGAGTTTACACCTTGAAACAATACTTTATCTGGAACAATATTATTCCATGACACATCAGGTCCCACGCATATAAAAATAAAACTAATTTTAAGGTACACTGCAATATCCCACATCAACTAAAACAGTACCCTTTAAATCGAGGCTGAAAATAATAACCAATATCAATCTTAAACCAGTGGAATAAGATCAAATTTCGATAGCACAACTGCTGTAGGCATAGAAGTTAGCAATAGTTTGCAGGTGCAAACTATATGAATATAGTTTCTGTAAGAAACAAACTGATCAAGAGATTTCACATTTGCAGCATCACATCCAACAATATATTTATAATAAAATGAGGTTAAATGGTAAACATTAAACTTACTTGTCCTGAGTGGGGTAGAAGGACTTTCTGCGGCGCAGGAGCACGGTACGGGTTCCTCCATTCTTCTCACCACCGATCTGCTTGACAGCTACGGAGGGCTTCTTGGGCTTCTCTGGTTTGGGGTTCTTTTTGCCCACAAACCTGTACTTAGCCTGAAAATTAAGAAAAATAGATTTGAAATATTTTCTGTTAAAAGTTACAAGTCGACAAGAATTAAGTTTTTTTTTGTTGGTTTTGTCAATGGATTCTTTCGTGGCACATTATTTTTAAGGTTTATATTATAATTTCCACTGATTTCCTATCAATATTGATGATAACATAACCTTATAAGAAACCAAACAGGATAATATACAATTGCACAACTTGCATTGTTGTTCTATGGAGCTAGAACTACCAAAGAGACTGCTAATAAGCATGTTGACACGTGAAGAAGTCAGCTTGGATTTTAGGATAGCGTATAGAGCTTATTAAGAACTTATTGTTGCACATGGGCAACACACTTGTTGACATGAAGCATTATACTTTATTTAACTATTTACAACTTCAATGAGATGCTTGCTTATACTGTTAGCATGTTAATACCAGCTTACCTTCTTGTGGAACATCCTCGTCTTGGAGAAGCGAACTACTCCATTTCCCAGGTCGTAATTCCTTGATTTGCCAACTTTGGCCTTGGCTACGCCGCCTGCGGGCGCTGCGGCGGGCTTGGCCGCCGCCTTAGGCTGTGGTGGAGCCATTTAGAATCTGCACAAACAGAAACACAACCTTAACAACAAACTCACCACCTGACTTCAACTTTGAGGTTATCTATGTTTTCACACTTCTCCTTACAAACAAGTGATTTAGACACGACTTTTAAGCATTTACACTGCGATTATGTTACATTTACACACGAAATCCTATTCATTCACTGTTTATTCACTATCACTTTACGAACGTCAAAACTTTCATTGCAAATTTCTAAGATGTTGAATTAAGGTGAAACCAAAATATAACACATAATCACTTGTTTGCAGGATACTTTTCGTAATTCTTACAGGTAATGGAGAAAAGGAGTTAAATATTAAACTATTCCTTTGGATTTATTTTCATCGAAAACAACATCAACTCACATTCCAACCGGGATCAAAGAAAAAAGAAATTGTCACAAAGGATTTTGTCTATGGCTGCTTTACTAAGTATTCGGATTGTTGGCTTTTTGACTGTTACACTTTTCTGAACGACCTATTTTATTTTTTCGCATTTTAATGTAAAATAAGCCCTAAGAAAAGTTTTTTTAGTATTTACTCTCTACATTACTACTTAATACGATGTTAATAATTACGATATCTTCAAAATTGGTTTTGTTTAATCTTTTAGATTACATTACTCATAATATTTTTTAAATGTTTTTAATTATTATACTGTATTCTTGTACAGTCAATATGCATTTGATAGCATATACGACGTAGAAGAAGTAAGAAAATTAAATAACAATATTGGTTTTTACTTCAATGTTTCGGACTTTGATTGATTCCGTTAGCAGAATGTCTATGGTCTCATTTAATTTACGCGCTGATGAACGCAGTGAATGAGTGAACGCAACAACAATGAATGTCAAATTAGGCAAATGTCAAAAATTTTAGTATTGAAAAATGGCTTCTTTGAGGAGCCCGTCTTCGCCGTCCGACGGTTATAAAAGGTTCAGTGATGATTTCGCAAACACCAGCATCAACAATTACGGCTCGAACGTCACAAGTAAACGAGAAGCTATAATTTTTATATGCACAGTAGCCGCAAGATTATGTGTACGCTTTTGTTTTATTAACAATACATTTTGTGATTCATTTAACATTTTGTTTTAATTTATTTCACCTTGTTTTGAGCATTAACTGTTATGTATACATCTATGTATGATCGTAAGAGATCGATTAACTGTTATTATGATGCTAAATCTGTTATATGACGCATTTGAATGACTCATAAAGCTCCCTAAACACTAACCCATGCATAAAATATACAGCAAAAAGCTCTAAGCTTGCCCTAAATACGTAATATTAAAGCTTCTGTCTGTAGTTTTTTAACACCTGCACTTTTGTAGTTAGTTGCTTGTTTTGCATGCGATTCTAACGATAAAAAAAATTAAAACTAATTTTAGGTATGTACTAAACTTTATAAAAAATTAAATTTACGTAGGCATTATTCTCAAGAAAATTAGAAAAAAATTTGTGCATTCGTGTACATAATACAATTGAGTAGGATGTCGATATATCCAAGTGCCTAATGTTATCTAGGTTTCTATCCAGTTCCATCCAGTTGAGATGTAATTGATTAGCCAAACTGGATTATTCCTATTTGCAGCACTATCAATATAATTAACATTTGCGTCTTCAATAATAACATGTTTGTGGAATAATCTAATGTACATACATACAAATGTACAATATTAAAATGTAGTATGAAACTAGATTTTATAAACATCCTAAATTATTTACTTACAGGTCTGCAATATTCTATTTAAGGCAAACCCTAGGATTGCTTTTTTACGAATTTCGAACCTTTTCTTTTGATGTAATTTGTGTAAAGATCAATGACAAATATTTTTTATCTGTATTCGGAATTGACTTAACTTTTTGAACCCAAGTTAGAACAATGATTGATGTTTGAATGTCAATAGACCTTAATCATCGCTATCAGGTACATGGTCTGTACCACATAGATTATTAGATTTATCATTGTTATCAGTATTGACAGCTTTGAACATGTTATCAATCAGTTGTGATCAACATTTGGCTGAAGAGCAGTGTTTTACTGAATACTGACAATAGTGTTTCTAAAAATAGAAAAAGAAATTAGAGAACGTATCAGAGTAACCAATAAGTTTTTTAAAACATCAATCAACACGAATATCGGCGATTTTGGCTTACTTATACAGAACTTTGTAGTGTTTTAAAACATGGGAATAAAAATTCTGACCATGATTCAGGTATGAGTCATGAAAGACAAATAACTTTTATGTGTTATTGAAAATCTGTAAAGTGCAGTGTGTTAATAATGTCGAAAGCAGTGCTGAATGTGACTGATAAAGTTTACTATGGGATCAGGGACCAGTGGTACAAACTAAAGTCATGTGAGTTTCATCATATACCTTATGTCCGTTCCGTAGATAATATTATTAAAGGTGGGCTTAAAAATTAATTCCGTAAATATATAATAATACCTAAGTACGTTTTGCGTACGAAGCACTAAAATTATTAAAAAAATGTGTCAGAATTCTATCTCTAGCCAAACCTGGGCACAAATAGATCTAAGAACTTCTTGTCCTTGGATTTTATCTTGTTTCCGATTACAGTTAAGATGCTTAGCCTATATTTGATCCGAATGTGTAGGAAGGGATATTTCCAATAACCGCACGTGAGCACGTCATAATCGTTAGTACGTAGGATTCGCGCAGTCGTTCCCGCTGTCCGGATGAAGTGTTCAGCCGGATAATTTGATTGTTCAAATTGAAAATGTTTTATTTTTAGAGCATTTCGACTGTCTATGTTCGCAAGACAACAGAAGCTTGTAGCGTAGACACGTTAATGTATTAATTATACCACGTTTGGAAAACACATATTTACAGCAGATTTTTGGCGACCGCCCAGCTAGGGGTCGCGAATTAGTCATGTCATGTAGGGATATTCGTGACCGTTTTACTTAATGTCCAAAAAATTCCAGGCAATAATTTTATTATGGTTGTTTAGAATTTGCATTTCATAATACTTTGTATAGGTATTGTAATTTTTTTTTTATAATTGCGTAACAAAAGCACTCGTTCACCCAAATTACATGAGCATTCACATTAAAAATTCGTAGCAGGGAAACATTTGAAACATTAAAAATGTTCCGGTATCCGTTCATAACGGATTAGGCTAAATTATGAATGCGACAAAGCCCTTAACAAAACCTGGTCCACAACATCGCATGAATTAGTTCAGGCTCCGGTAACTGACCCAATACCCTTCCGTAGTTCCGGATCAATTCTCCCCGGTAGGTATGTTCTCGTTTTTGGTAACGTCCATGCATAGTTTGTTGACCCCAACGTTCGCTCAAATCGTTTGAAACGCGAAAACATCGTAATGCATAAAATTTAACACGGTTTCAGTCCAATCTGTTCTGTCTTTATAGTTTCATGAAACTGACGCGTATTTATTAACGTGTCTAATTTCAAATTCAGCCAATCTTTAGTTATTGACACGTGTTTTATGTGATGTAAGTTATTACAATATTTAAAAGGGCGATTTGGTGATACTTCACGAAAGGTCACTAAGTACAACTTGATTCAACCTTAAACTCATCAGCGTGACTTATTTCGTGATCAGACCAGACGGACCAGACCCATTCCCACCGTAAAACGATGTTAAGTACCCATGTCCTAATCAATATAAATAACCTTATAAATACCGATTATGAAACCATTGTTCGCAATAAACACCCGCATTGAACAAGAAATGCGCTGGCAAGGTCGTGTCGACAATCTGTGAAAGCGATTGTGTACAGACAATTATTACTGACTTTGCTTCGGTATACGATGGCCCATGGTGCATTTACAAGCTTCTGCAATATTTAGTAGAACAAGTCGCCTTGATTCAATCTACATTAATTTTACAAGGCTGTGATCTATTTCTGTTCGGCCTAATCTGTCAAATTGACAGTTACATACGAAAACGGCTTTTTGCGTTTGATGATGTTTATTAGACTTGATTTATGGTGTTATAGTAGTTTTTTAGGATTATACTGATAACTAGGCCAGGTAGCCTAGACATTGCTAGATGCAAATGTTTTACAAAGCTTAAGAATTAAGCTCCTAATCTTTTAAACAAAACACTTTTTCGGTATGTGCAGGTAACCTACGTGGTCTAATAAAATAGGGTAGATAGATACTATTAGTTATTTTGACTAATACAATTTTTGAAAGATTTGAACGTATGAATTCTAATCTCATACCTATGTTCCTCTCATTTTCGTCTTTTGCAACGGTTTCAAAAATAAGAAATTCAGAAGGACATTTCTATCTTGACGGAATAATTTTAAAATAATAATTTTTAGTATTAATTAGCAGACCCGGCGAACTCCGTTTCGCCACCAGAGGGCTTCGTTCTATGTAACATTCTTTGCTATAAACCTCACGGAGTCCGAGGCCTTTCCAACGAATGCAAAACCGTGGAAATCGGTTCGTGCGTTCTGGAGTTATAGCGTCAGGAAGGAAAACCCGACTTATTTTCATTTATTAGATTTTCTAATTTACCTGGTAAGTAAATAGACAAATTATGGATTGCTAATTCATTGCTTTCATCCTTTTTCGAATCTCTAATATGATTCATTCTTCCAGTAAAATCCGTGTTGTATAACATACAGAAGCTCGGTCATTATTTAATCGGAAATGAATTCCATACGTTATCAACAATTTAATTTAACTATCACTGACGCTAGTATGATTCATAATTACACTGATTTATTTATTTGTCATTTATCATATTTACATAATAAGGTAATTAAAGATAAACCGTCGCTAGATAGCATCAAAAAATTATAGGATTCTATTCAATTCATACTCAATGTTCCGTAAACTTATTTTTTACCGTGTCTAAAGATTTTGCACCATTGGGACATTTAAAAACTTAAATCAAACGAATTTAGTCCTTATTTTACGCACCAGAAAAAAATTAAACGCCTATATGTACCACCCAAAGGTAAATTGTAATGAGGTAGGTATCATAAAACCATGTTTACTAGAAGTTACCAAGTTTACTGTAAAAGCGATTAATGACGAAATCGCGATCGTCTGTATGATATCATCAACACAGATTAAAAATGGACATTCACTTCATTCTTGTTCCTGATCTTAACATCATACTTAGTTCGGTTTAAAATTAGGTTAATATTTAAATGCAATAAATGCTATTTAGAATTAACAAAAATGAATTCGGCATTGAAATACCAAAATTGGTACCAACATTTAAAAGTAATAAAACTATAAGTACCTAATAACAAATACTTGGTCATTTTAACAATTACTTAGTGTACTTATGTTGTACCTACCTACTTAATTTTGTTTCATTCTCTAATATTACGTAGTCTAGAATTGTGCCTCTTGTGAATTATCTATCAAAATACGGGATTTCAGTTTAAACCTTGTGTTACAATTGCCAAATTATGATTTATACTCTGAATTTTAATTCGATTCCAGATTTGACAATTTCAGTGTTGCAATGTTATGACAAGTACTAAATAGTGACGTTGCGAAATTATTCGATATGGAAATGGAATATTTCCGGACCGATTCTTCTCGTTTATAATTTTACTCTCGTAAACTAAGTATATCAGGAAATTAAATATTTCTGACCGATAATTTAGTTTTGACGATTAATTAACGATCTGAGACTTTTCTTTAATAATTGTGTGTGAAATAAATAAAAAAATGTAATCATGAAGGAACATGACAAATAAAACAGATAGATGTATTATGGTAATAATTTATTTTATAAATTGTCGCCGTCATCGCTATCGCTGTCGCTGTCACTTTCTGTAACATTTATTATAAAACACACACACCGATTGTTTATCGATTTTTGTGTTCATCACTACACTATTACATGTGGTATCATTATTTCTCAAAATGACAGTAGCTAATGTCAAATCTGGAATCGAATTAAACTGTCAAACACCAAGCGGTCACCGGTGACCGCAACCTATTGTTCTATAATTGTGTCTACAAAACCGGTACTCGACGAGTTAAAATTCTGACTGATTCTGACTATAGATTACCGCTACAAAACGGCCTACTTCATCAATATAACAAAAACTTAAATACATGTTTTATCTAACATACAAAGCTTAAGCAATGGTGACCGTTAAGCCTTTATGTATAAAGAACCGTTACTAGTAAATTAGTAGCAATAGCAAGTGTAGAAGTTTTGCGATATGAAACTCAGCCGAGGTTGAATATGTCTGACCTTGGAAACACCAAACAATGGCTTCACTCGTTTCTATTAGACGCTTACAATCCACCAGCTGGTAATTTTGTTACTTATTAATACGACCATTTAATTTAAACGACCCATGTACTTTAATGTCTCTAGTGTTTTGATATGTCTCATCTATTAATTGCTACTGTCTACTGTCCGCTAATCTGTTAAAGTTTACAAGGGAACCGTGCTTTTTCTCCGAATGAAAAAGTGAATGAGCTATTTAAGAGGAATTTAATTCTTAGCCAAATGACATTGCCAGATCCTGACCCAGTCATAATATAATTTACAAAAAAAGTAAATTGATGAAAATAATTTAGAAGAATAAGGAACCTTTTCACAATAAATCTTTTTATTTTTAAACTTGCGGTTTGCAATCTAATAAAAAAAGAAGTTCAATCCCGGAAATACTTTTTTGCAATGCGTATTCCATATAAAATATTATATCAAAAGTATAATTATGTATAACATTTATTTATTTATTAATGATTACAGATGAAATCACGAAAATATAAAAGAAACGATTACTATCATTAGTTATGATTTTTTTCGTGTAACGAAACGTTTTGAAGCGCTTGTCAGTTGTCAGCTGTCAGTGTCAATATTATCTTTCATTCGCTCTCTGCGTTTCCGTTGTTTTCGCGATAGTTATCATTATTGTTTTGTGTTTTAAACAAAAACCGCAAGTTTTACAGGTTTCAGGACAAATGTTTAGGTATCGGTAATTAATACACTACACGATGCTGAATACTGCATACTTGTACATGAGTTCAGTACTTGTAGTTGAGGTCAAAGATGTACTGAGCACCTGGCATTGTCCTTTCCTCCAAATAAAGAAAAAAGATTTACAAAAAATAGTTTGATCTATTTAAAATCGTAGACCCCGTCATCGCTTACCACCAGGCGAGATAGTGGTCAAATATATACATATATAAAAATGTGTCGCATACTTGCTTATCATTATTAGTAAAAACTGAATGAAAATGCGTTTAGCAGTTTGAGTTTATTTCACTTAGATAGACAAACGTGACGTTGACTTTGTTATACCTCTACATACGTATAATAATTTGTAGTTAAAACAGGAAAAACAAGTACCAAAGCAGACGAGGTTGAGAAAATG